AGTGCTGTATAAATGTGTGTAGTAGAGCGCTGTATAAATGTGTGTGTAGTAGAGTACTGTATAAATGTGTGTTTAGTAGAGTGCTGTATAAATGTGTGTAGTAGAGCGCTGTATAAATGTGTGTGTAGTAGAGTGCTGTATAAATGTGTGTGTAGTAGAGTGCTTTATGAAGATGGTGTGTTGGTAGCGTCTTCACTGCTCTTTGTCACTACTTTGGTTGTCCATTGTAAAAACACTTTTGTACACAAACTTCAACGTCCTGGCTAATGTTCTCAGGTGTTCCTTTACTTTTCTTCATAATGTTCTCATGGTGCCATTTGTTTTATGAAGTGTACCAGTCCATTCTGCTGTAAACCCACCCAACAACAAGACGCTGCCACCCTCAGATGTCGGCTGGGGTGGTGTTCTCAGGCTTTCAAGCTTTTGTCTTTTTCCTCCACCAGTAACGATGGTCATTGTGGTCAACCAGTTTCTCTTTAGTTTCAACAGACGACTGATGTCTCTCCAGAGTTTGACGGTGGACAAGGACTCTGATCAGCGTCAGCAGCATCTGCACAAGCTTTTGTTTTAGGTTAATGTGCACATTTTGCACCAAAAAAACAAAAAATGTCATCTCTGGAACACAAAATCCATTTCTTCTCTTAGCAGCATGATGGCAGGACATTCCCATATGAACCTTCAGGCATCTGGACATTGGACACTAAAAGGAACCAGAGTTGTGGACATGGACACTTCTCTTCTTGATTGCTTGGCTGATTCCTTTGGATTTTTCCAAGATGTCCCAGAAAGATGCAGTGTTGCTCGAGGTGCACCCCCATTTAATCCAAATGCTGTCAGCTAATCTATCAGAAGCTTCCAAAACTATGACATCATATAAACAATGTAACTTTAAAGAAAGTAATAAAAATACATTTTAAACACTCTTTTTGGGCATTTAGATACAAGTAGAAACTAATTTGAACGGATCTGTGTGATGTAAGAAGTCAGTATCTTTCCTGCAGCTGAACTCCTTTTTCATGTTGAAGTTCAGGAAACAGTTCATCGGAGCAGGTCCAGTTTCAGTTTCAAATTAGGACCATAATAAAAAACGAAAACCTTCCTCAAAACTTCCAAATACAAAAACCAGAAAGGCCATAATGTTTTATTTTCAATACATGACCTCAGGTTAATTTAGTAATTCTGTTTTCTTGTGAAAACCAGATTTTATTTCAAACCACAGAGAACAAAAGGATTCCTTCCATTCAAACGATCAGTTATCGTACGGGTAACTGATTCCAGCTGAAAGCTTCACACCATAGAGCCGTGCACGCGCATGACTTAACTTACTGCTATAGATCATGTTTAATTCTGACAGTGAGGCTAACAGATGTGAAACATAAGAACGACCCGTTTTCTCCACATGATGTCAGGACAACATGTCACCCTCTGAAAAGAAGACCAAACTAACTTTAGTTATCTTGAGAAATCAGAAAAATCAACTCCTGAAAAGGCTGAAAGTCTGAACACTCAAACCCTTTTTATCTCCTAACTGAACTCTGATATGCTTCATTAATTTTATAGTACCATAATTTTCGGCCTATAAGTCATGTTTCGTTGCATAATTTACATGCCCTGGAACTTATACGCTGAAGCGACGTATTTATGAATTTTTTCTCATATTTATAAACCAATTTTTTGCTGAGATATGACCGTTTTCATTCATTCTGACTGAAAATATTGAACACTACCATTTTCAGCCACTAGATGGCACTCAAGTAGTATAGCATGCCGGTGTGTCATGTAATAGGTAAAAGTGGCTATTAATGACACAGTCGGCTAGCCACAGACTGTCACCTTCGTCCAGATCGCCTGGAGAAACCGTCAAATCAGCTTCATTTTGCTGCGCTGCCCCAGAGAAATGCAGCTAATTTCACCGTTGAAGTCCTTTTATTAAGTAAAAGCTAGACTGAGTCACACCTTTACTATAATTTTGAGCAAACAAATAATTGTTTTTAAGTGTTAATCTCGTTAAATTCTTGCTAAAGTCCTCTTGTGCACACTCCCACAGCCACTATGGCAGCAATTAGATTTTTGGCACAACACCGGCCCACATTTCCTGGTTGCCAGCGGTGACACATAATAGATGTGACATATTTATGGACTTTTCCACATTTATTAGACATATTTGGACTGATGCAGCGGTGTGACGTGTACGGCAGAAAATACGGTATTCTTCCTCTGATTGGCTAAAACTTATTTAGCACAAGACTTACTTCAGCTATTCCACAGTTAACCCTAAAACATCGACTGTAAAACAATAAATAATGAGAAGGGGAGGCACAGGGAACTGCTGAGAAAACATGAGATATCTTTACAAAGCAGAATATTCTGTGACAAAATGATTCAACTTAAGCTGCAGGATCCAACGATTGGATGCGAAAATAGCACCAAAGTCATGCAAAAGAGATAAGATGTGAAAATATTGATTAAAGCGTTCAGTGGAGTTTAAACTCCTTTAAGACGGTAAAAATACTCTGGAACCTCCATGAGAATTTTCCATGAATCTCCAAACTGAGCTCTGATTGTTGTGACAGAAAAGATACTGACTGCTCATAAATACTCAGCACAACCCCCAAAACCCGAAGAGTCCACATAACTACTACACAGTAATCTCCAGTGCGCGCACACAAAATCAAAACTTCTACAGGATCAGAAAAACTTTGAAACGTGAAGAAAAAGAATCATAAACGTGCTGAAGGTGGAATTATCCTTGAACTGCTGCAACATGCAGCGACCTGGCGACAGGAGGCAGCAGGCTACAACCTAACAAACCGAGCAGCTCACCGCCAAGCTACTCACAGAATCTGGACTACAGAAGATGAAAGTTTCCGTCGAGAAACGGTTTGGAGGTGAAAGTCCAGTTCTGTTAGGACACAGGCAGGACGACCCGGGCCAAAAATCTGCTTCATGTGAAAAAAAAAAAAAGTGAAAATCGACAAAACGATGTTTGGGTAAAAAGGTTCGGCACTGACTTCTGCTCGTGCCGCGGGTTGATCACATCTGGATCAACAGGTGTTCAACTTCAGGCTGCACAAACCCACAACAGGTTCCGAATAACTCTGTTGCGTTAAGTTTTCAGCCAAGATAGAAACATTTCCAACACCTTAAAGAACAACGTTGGACCGAACTGCCCAAATTACGCACGCGTGCGGCACACTGCGCGGCGAAGTGCACATATTTCAAGCTAAGTGTCAAATGAGGTGCTACCAAAAGAGCTTTAAACACTTTAAACATCTACAAAGCAGGAAGTCCGCGTGCGCCACCCCTGCCACTTGTTGTGGTGTTAAAATGCGTAAAAGTTTGGAGACGTACCCCAGTGCGCCTTGAAGCTGCGGACAGTGTTGCCGTCCCTGAACGGAAACCCAGCGCGGTTGTACTTGGCGTAAAGCATCTGCATGTGTTCCGTCATTGTATCCTGTAAAAGCGCGTCCTGCTCTTCCCGGCTCGTGGACTTTTTATCCACTGAATGCGTAAAATCCACCTTTCGTCTCTCGGGGAAATTGTCCGTCTTCAGCATCGCGCTGAGTCCCAGGCACAGATAAGTCCACCCGTAAAGCAGCACGAGCGCAAACCGAGAGCACGGAGCCATGGCTGAGACCAAGTGAGGGGAGCTGTGGGACAAAGGGACAAGTTTTCACGCCGCCAGAAGTGTCCCTTATTTCCAAAAACACATCTCATCACCAGAGGAGCCCAAAGCCGTCCATCAGCGTTGACACGAGTCACAAAAACTGCTGTCCACGCGTTCTCTGGGCTTTGGATTGGCTCTAAAAACGAAACAGGTAACGAGTAAAAGACAATTCGTGCGTGAGAGAACAGACAGGAGGAGAGCTGCGCCTCTGCAGAACCTTCAGCTCCAACAGTCCCCGGCTCAGCTTTCAGTGAAGGTAAAGCATGTTGTGCTTGGTATTATAGGGCTTGAGGGACCAGCTGAGTATTCCTCTCCTTTCCACACGCGCGCCCACGCACGCGCGCTCAGAGAGGGAGGGAGTTTCCTGTTCGAAAACTTTTACGCACGTTCGGCCTGGGGACGAATTATCTCGTTATCAGGAGCAGGAGGAGGAGGCTGTTTTATCAGCTGGGCTGAAGCAGATGAATCAAAAATAAATGATTCGAGGAAGGTGGACACTCCGCGGATGAATGTGAGCACCTGAGCTGCTGCCTCAGAGCAGCCTCTCCGTGCGTAAATTCTGCGCGTCCCGTCTGAAAGGAGCGGCTTATTGGCGGCTTTAAGGGCTTTCTTCGCTGTTTTGTTTAGGTCAATGGAGTTAAGCACACACATCCTGGACCAGCACGGTCTGATCCGGATGCTGCTGTGCACCCCCTCCCGCAAAACAGCCCGTCAGGCGGGGTTCTGACCCCCCCGCACCGCCACTGCTCCTCTTTCAGGGGCGCTCGGGAGGAAATGATTAGGGCATTTCCCCACCCTTGGCCATCTGATGGCAATAATATTAGCATGCCATCTTCATAGAGCACAGGGTGGAGGTAACCCCTCCATCATCTCACAGCAGTGTGAAGGGAAAACATTTATTATATTAAAATGAATATTAAAAAAAAACTGATAAGATGTTCTAGAACATCCATCTCATCCTGTAAGAACTGACAGGTGCCCTTCTTTAGTTTCTCAATGATTGAAACTTTATTAACTTTACACTGAGTTGTTGACAGCTGCAGTCTTAATAACTGTTTTTGTAGCAGAAACATTTAGACTGTTCAGGTCTGCTTGTCGATTATCAGCTCAAACAATTTCAGATTTTCGTTCATCCTTTCATCAGATTCAAAAATTATTTTAAAGGGAATCATTCACTTTCTTGAGATTTTACTCATCACTGATCCACTTTTTTCACCCATCTCTCTTCTGACTGGTCTCTCAGGATGAGCTGCAAAAATTTAAATCTTTCACTGAAAAAAGTTATTTATCTGTTTTAAGGTTTCATCTTTATTTTACAACTCTCTAAACACTGAAAACTCTAGCTAAAATGATGTCAAGTGAACAAAAATAAAAATTCAAATGGAGTAAACGTATTTAAAGCAAAATGTTCAAACAAATAAAAACACTAATTTTACATTAAAAATAATATTCTGGGTGGGATTTATGTTCAGATATCTGTTAATGACCTCAGAACTTTCATCATCCTCATGATTTATCCACATATTTATTGAAATTATATAAATTTTACAGCCAACACAACATTTCAGCAGCTTAATATTGAGTCAAGTCAAATTTATTTATAAAGCACATTTAAAAACAGCAGCTGTTAAAGTTCTTAACAATAAAATCAATTGCAGTAATTAAAAAAAAAAACCACTAACAAAATGTAATTAAAAGCATCAAAAGAAAACGTAAAAACACAAAATGATGAAATACTAAATCAATTAAAACAGCTTTGAGTAATAAGTAAATCCATTTTTCTACGTCTGTGTTGAGTTTGATGCAGAATTTTTCTGTGGTTCAAAAAATGTCAGAGTTTGTTACGATGAAGGATTTCTTTATTTGAAGCTCAGTTTGAGTGAAACCTCTGATCATGTTGGATGTTAGAGAGAAGTCAGCGCGCAGAACTAATAAAAGCACGACTCAGTGAAAACTCCAACAGCTTTAAAGGCCAATAAAAGAAATGAAGGAAACTATAACCATTAAACTTCAGTTTTACTGCAGAATCATTATTTACAGACAAATAATCGGAGTGGGTCATGGTGATGCTTTTAAATTATTAAATTAAAAAAAACATGACAACAATAATAAATATCTGCAACAGTTTTGGAACATCTGTTGAAATTTAAAACTACAATTTAAAAGCACATCTTCTGTTTTGAATGAAGTAAATAAAAATAATATGGGAAATAGAAAGTCCACCCTTTCAGATTAGAAAACAGGATTATAACACAGATGTGCCTTAGGCTGCCCACAATAAAAGGCTGCTCTAAAATGTGCAGTTTTACTGTATTGAGGGGGTCTGGGGGGACTGGTCTCAGACCATCTTGTAGGTGAAGATGCTGGATGTGGAGGTCCTGGGCTGGTGTAGTTACATGCAGTCTATGGTGAGGCCGGTTGGATGTTCTGACAAATTCTCTGAAATTTGACGACAGCTCATGGTAGAGTAATGAACGTTCAGTTCTCTGGTGGACATGCAGTCAGCATGCCAACTGTACCCTCTGACATCTGAGTCATTGTGCTGTGTGGTTAAACTGCACATGTCACAGTGGCCTTTTATTGTGGGCAGCCTAAAGCACACCTGTGCAATAATCATCCTGTCCAATCAGCATCTTCATATGCCACACCTGTGAGGTGGATGGACTGTCTCGACAAAGTGCTCACAGATTTACACACAGTTGTGAAGAATATTTGGAGAGAAAAATGATTTTTGTGTACGTAGAAAAAGTTTTAGATCTTTGAGTTCAGTTGAAGCAACAACTAAAGTGTTTCGTTTATATTTCTGTCCAGTGTATTTAAAAAAAGAAAAACTAAATCTTTCAGGTGTGAGTAAAACCTGCCAGCTGGTAGAACCTCCTGGAAGAGCAGAAACTCTCAGTGGGTTTAAAATAACTTTGGGTCTCCTTCGTGGTTGTGGAGGAGTTCTGGCCCACTCTTTTTTCCATCACTGAGGGTTCTGTTCAGCTAAGGTTCCACCATAGCATTTCAGTCAGGTTCAGGTTCTGGATCTTGACCGAACCGTTGCAGCACCTCGATTCTTTTTCTCTGACCCGTTCAGTTGTAGATCAGCTGCTGTGTTTGGGATCAAGGTTCTGTTGGACCCAGTTTGGTTCAAGCTACAGCTGTTGGACAAATTGACTCAACCCTTTGGTCTACAGAGGAGTTCTTGGTCCACTCAGTGACCAAAGGAGCCCAAACCATCATCCCTCCACCACCGTGCTGACAGTTTGCATGAGGTGTTTGCTGCAGTGCATTCTGGGTAAACATCCGGTATTGTTCCAGAAGTCTTGTGGTTCCTTCAGGTAAAACTTTCCAAAGCTAAATTGTGCTGCCATGTTGTTTTTAGAGAGGCCATGACCTTTGACCTTTAACCTGCTAACTGCTGCTAGAGTCTGAGGTGGAGCACATTTGTCTAAGCATTGCACAGTCTGACCTTTGGGGTAAATTTTCTGGGACGTTGTCTTGTGAAGATTGTCTTAAATGTTTTCCACTTGTGAGAATTCATTCTGTCTGCAAAATGATGGACTCCTGATGACCTTTGACCTTTCCCAGATGGACAGGCAGCAACAGTTGCTTCACTAAGGTCATTGCTGATGTCTTTCCGTCTTGGTGTGTTAGCACACACCTGTATGCTCCAAACGGAGGTGGTCCTGGTGCTGACGATCAGCGGCTCCTGGCTGATCCTGAACCTCTGAGATCCTGTGGATCAAGGCTGGAACCAGTTTTACTCACAGCTTTTATATTTGTTAGTTCAATAAATGATGACATGTGGGATCAGCTGTGCAGATTTTTCTTTTGAAGTTACACTTGGATAACTTTAGAACCGGTAAAGACCAGAACATTGCATCATGTCCTGGTCCATAAAACCTTAGAACTGGAGGAGCGTGGACTTTTCTCCAGAACAAAAAGCACATTGACTTAAGAGTTTTAAAACGCCCCTCCTCTGCGACCATGATGTTGCTTTTTATAATTCCTTCCTTCTTTCACCAACATGCACTTGTCACAGGTCCAGATCGATCTGTGTTTTTAAACACCCACACCCAAAGACATAAAGAACCACATGGACAAAGACAACCCAAAACCAGACCCTGGTTCCCTGGAACCGAAAGCCTTGGAGCCGCCACACGTTGTTTCAATAAGAAGCCAGTTCAGTCAAAACAAGCAAACAGATGCAGCCGATGGTGTCAAGATGGCCCGGGCCACAGCTAGATGCTCGTCAGAATAAACTCGTGACGTTCTGGTTGGAGGGACCTGAAACCAGAAACAGCAGCTACAGAGTGAGTCCAGCAGGTTGAAAAATAAACTCCTTCAGTTTGTTTTGTTGTGGAGGGATTGATGAAAGGATTGAAACATACTAAGCTACTGTAAGAAATCCATATACTAAACGACTTTTTGTTTGTTTGGATCAAGAAACACAAAGACACAACTTGTTGAACATCTGCTGTACAGTTTTTATTGGACAGCTGCTTCCAGACGGAGCTGGCTGGATCCGTCTAATGGTTCCCCTTCAAAGACGAGAAGAATCAGTTTCAGTGCAAAATAAGAACAGATGCAGCTGGAAAGACCAACGCAAATTAATCTTATTCTTCTTCTTTCGGCTTTTCCCTCTTCAGGGGTCTCCACAGCGAGTCCTCCACCTACATCTCTGTCCTCTGCGTCCTCTGTCCTCACTCCAACTACCATGTCCTGTCTAACTGCATCCAGATATCTCCTCTTTGTCTTTTTCCTGGCAGCTGCATTTCTAACATCCTTCTACCAATATACCTACTGTCCCTCCTCTGGACATGTCCAAACCATCTCAGTCTGGTCTCTAACTTTATCTCCCAGTTGTTCAACATGTGTTGTGCCTCTGATGACCTCATTCCTAATCTCGTCACTTGTCTCTCCTAAGGAGAACCTCAACATCTTAATTTCTGCCACTTCCAGTTCTGTCTCCTGTCTTTACCATCACAGTCAGGTGAAAGTGACTGAGTTTGCACATCGTTCTCAGATGGTTTTGATGGAAATGGTCTCTACTGAATCGAGAAAACTTCTCGCAGCTCAAATATGGAGGCAAGCTGAGACAGGAAGTCTCTACAGCTTCATTAGAAGACATAATGAAGGGAAGTGGTCTAAGATGTTAGGTTCAGCTCACCCTGTGCATTTTAGAACCTTAATACATTTCTACATAAATACATACATTAATGTACACATTTAATATATTTATAAATATATACATTTCTAATTAATGCATTTCTTACAGGTCTCTCTTGTAAATGAGTCCTTGAGGCTCATTGAGACTAACCTGTATAAATAAAGGTTGAATGTTGGACTGTGCTAGCTTGATATTATAGTTTGACCTTAAGTCATGAAGCAAATACGATTTTCTATAAGTTGGACTGTTTGCAGATTCAAATCCGTCACAAGTCACCCAACAGAAAAAACATTTTGTGTTCTGGTGTCAGAATGTGGGATTTTTGGATATTTTTGTTGTTGTTTATCGTCAGCTCTTTTGGTTTTGTGATCCTTACATTGGGTTCTGCTCCTCTGACTCCATCTTTAACTCACGTCAATGAAGGCCTTCAGTCTACACTCCATCTTCAGCTGAGCATTGTGTTTTTTCATGCCATGTCCTGTTCTCCTGTGTGCTTTCCTCAAGTCATTTAGTTTGTAGTTGCCACCACGTCTGCTTTTTATTACAGCATTCTTGAGTCCAGCGCCTACAAACCGTGCCCTGCAGCCGTGTAAAGTTTAGACCTGCAACAAACTTTATGACAGTAATGTTGTTGAAAGGAACCTCCTGGAGTTGTTGGTTTTCCCTCAGTCTCTTCACACTAAAAGTCGTCTTCTTCTTGGGCACATAAAACATCTACCTTCCTTCTCTGCATCATGCCAGCCAACTCTCTACATTTGCCTGTCATTGTTCCCACATTTAGAGTTGCAACCCTCAGTCCTACATTCTTAACTTTCCTCTTCTCTCTTTCCTGACACGTTTCTCTCCTCATGGTTTTTGACTAACAGTAGCACAACTTCCTCCGGCACCCTGTTTGTCAACAGCACCGGTGGCGGTCGTTGTTAACCCGGGCCCCGACCGATCTGGTATGGTGTCGCTTTGATGAACTCGCATTATGGTTTTGGCAAAAGTGTTTTACGTCGGATGCCCTTCCTGAAACAACCGTCACCATTTACCCAGGCTAGGGATCAGCACAAGAGTTCAAGTTCAAGTTCAAGTCAACTTTATTGTCATTTGCATTACATGTGGTACATGAGGTGGAATGAAGTTATGTACACAGGGTCCCAGTTACACCTAAAATTAGCAAACTATAAAGAATAAAAAGAAACAGTAAATAAGGATCTAAGATATACACTAAGATATACGCTAAACACTAATAATGTAAACCAATGCGGCGTAACAGAAGCCCGAACACGAGTCTGTGGTGAACAGATGGGTACGAAGGAATATAGCAGCACGAATAATCAGCAGCATGGATAATCAGCAGCATGGATAATCAGCAGCACAAATAAGTCACAGGCTTGTGTTCTCTAGTTTGTCTCCGCTCTAAAAGTGATAACGTCAAATGTAGATAAATGGCTTTTTGTTATTTTTAGAAACTTTTTTTTAACTAAATGATGTACTGAAGTGTCATGGTTCATTGTCATGTTCCAATAGTCAACGAGTTACAAAAGGATTTTACACCAAAACATGGTTTTTAAAACATTAGGAACAGAGTTTGTGCCTGCAGGCCGTGCTGTCAACAAAACATCTGATAAACATCTGATGCCAGCTCCAACGTTTTGTCTCCAACGTCGGTCGTTCCTTTGGCTCAGTCTGGGTCTGACCGTAAGAATTTTATGCCTTTAACTTCATTTGACATCAAAATAAACTGATATAAATGTCATCTTTTGGTTAGGTTTCCCTCGTTCTTGTAAGACTCCACCTGACATGTGACAGGAAACGGCAGAGTTTGTCGTTTGTCGTGGATTTATGGGATTGATTCCCACCATCTGGTTCAGATGCAGAGGCAAAACGTAAACTTCTTCCCATTTCAAAAGGAATCCAACAGCAGATTATTTGTAGAGCAGCGCAGCATTAAAGCATGTCAGTGACTGACTAATATGTAAATGATAGAGCACTTTGAAGTCCTGCACGGTGCACCTTAGATCTGGGAACATGCGGAATGCTTTAAGCCCATTACCCACTCTTCCAGTCCAATTGCAGCTACCGCAGCCTGGGGGAGGACATAAAAGCAACCCCCATCATCTTTCAAAGCTCTTACGCCTTTAATTTGTTTAGACAAACAGCCCAAAACATGTTCGGCCAAACGGTGGACGAGCCTGAGGTCCCTGAGCACGTTCTTGCCCCCCGACTGAAACCGATGGCGCGAGGAGTGACCACTGGAAACCAAAGTGAAAAGGAGCAGAAAGGAATTTAGGTCCAAATTTCAGGCTGTTAGTAAAGAAACCTCCCCGCTGTCGCTCCAGTCCGTTCACCCCTTCCTCTGGGGATCCTCACTTTAAAGCCTTTTTCTTTTCAAACAGCAGCACCTCCACCCAGATGGCATGCCTGATATGAAGGGAACAGTTTGTAAATGATGGTGCACCGACAGCAGCCCGGTCAAATTAGAGGGCTCCTCTGCTCTCCGGTATGCGCCGCATGCACGTGTGTGTCGGCAGCTCAGACCACTCTGACGTGGTGGTCGAAGAGGACAACATGGATGTAGAGGTCCGACTGCAGCAGCGTCCTGCTGGGGGCCTCGCCTGGACCAGACTGAAACACAGCAAAGAGGCAAATCAGACCAAAGTAGAACAACGACTTATTCTGCTGAGCAGCAAAAGGCTAGCTGAAAGCTAAAAGTAGCACAAGAAGACAAAAATAGTCAGTTTGCTGAAGCAGATTTCAAAGAGAATGGTGTTTTTGAAGAAAATGAAGAGAACTTCATGTATTATTTACAAATATAAAGATAGTTACATTATTTGAAATATAAAAGTTACAAAGAACAAAAGTAGTAGCACCCACCCCTCATGCATTAGTATATATATACACATACATACATATATATACACAAACATACATATACATATATATACACATACATATACATATATATACACATACATACATATATATACACATACATACATATATACACATACATACATACATATATACACATACATACATACATATATATACACATACATACATACATATATATACACATACATACATATACACATACATACATATACACATACATACATATACACATACATACATATACACACATATACACATACATACATATACACACATATACACACATATACACATACATACATATACACACATATACACATACATACATATACACACATATACACATACATACATATACACACATATACACATACATAAATATACACACATATACACATACATA